AACTGAAAAATTCTGAAAATAAAATTGCATAGCACTCCTATAAAAAGATCCATCATATGTAATAAAACAAATCCTCCTTTGATGGGAGACTGATGTTTTAAAAGGTTTTTAAGATGTATAAGAATAAAAAATAATTTTATTTAAGCAGTGTACCACTATATATTGTTGATTTCAGACCCCATTAGAGTACCCAACCTTTTGACTACATTAACCACTTGCCTATTGAGCACTTTCACCCCTTTCCTGCCCAGGCCAATTTTCAGCTTTCAGTGCTGTTGCACTTTGAATGACAATTGCGCGGTCATGCAACACTGTACCCAAACAAAATTGTCACAATTTTTTTTAGATAGATAGAGCTTTTTTTTGGTGGTATTTAATCACCAGTGGGGTTTTTATTTTTTATTCCCTGCCGGTAACCGGCGATCGCCAAGTAAAACTGAGAGGGGAGAGACCTGTGTGTAAACAATACAGGTCTCTCTCCTGCCAGCAAGAATATGCTGCTTTGTATTTCTCTGCACAACAAATAATGACAATTAAATATGGTGTTCCCTTCCCTTATTCACAAACTTCCCCAAAACACATACAAACACTTTAAACCCCAAAAAGTGTGATAATCTTATAAAGTATGCTTAGTATCCCTAGTATATAAATACAAATAAACCCCCCAGTGCAAAATAATGACAATCAAATACAGTGTACCCTTCCCTTATTAACAAATTTCCCCAAAACACATATAGACTTAAACCCCAAAAAGTGTGATAATCTTATGAAGTATGCTTAGTATCCCAAGTATAAATACAAATATAATAAGTGCTCTGAACAAAAACCACACAAGTCCCAAAATAATAAAATAGTCATTCAAAATCTCAAAATCAACCTCCAGGTGAAGACAGCCTCCAAAGTGATTTCTGAAACCAAAAAAAACTCAAAAAAAAAGAAAGGAAAATGCACATAGTGTATTATCCTTAACAACTTGAATTATTCATTCCATAACGCATGTGATTCACACAAAAACACTCGTGATCACTATATGGTAAGGTGAATAGCTGTGTAAACACGTGTCCGTGAAACAATCTAGTGATAAAAAACTGTGAAAAACATGTCCACTTCTAGAGTGTGCAAATTAAATACCCTTACCAAAAAATTATAAACGCAAGCTTAGTAATCCTCCAGGCAGGGTACTGATATATAATAATAAGTTCCTCCAGAGGGATCTTCACAGCCGCAGTATTATACTCCTCTTCACATCAGTCTCCAAACGATGCCCACCATAAATGAAACCACAATAGCGTAATTCCATAAAAACAGAATATACTTTATTTATGTGCTTACATATATCTTCATCTTTAAAATTGCCATCAAACAAGAAATCAGCCCAGCCAGACCTCCGGAAATCCTCAGCAGATCCTCTCCTGTGTCTCAGATAGAGATTTCCAGGATCCAAAATGGCCTCTTGATCACTTCCGGAATCTCAACTTTGACAAGCAGGGGGAGCTAAAGTCACAGCAGAGATGAGAGCTCTCAGAGTTAATTGGAGGGAAGGGCCACACCCCCTTCACACAGCACACAGGAACAAAACTGAGGCTGTCAATCATAGGCTGTGCCCTCCCCTTCACCATTTTTTTTCTTGGCGTCAGGAAAACTCTCCAGAACTGACTCATGCTTACAGCAGAGGACACAGCAGCAGACAGAAATGACACTTAGTGCTCTGGATTGAGACAAGTACACACTATAGAGGTGTATGCTTTGTTCATATTTCACAACTGAGGTTTACAACCACTTTAAGCCCTGCTGTAGACTGACAACCAGGGGCGGACTGACCATATGGAAACTCGGGCACTGCCCAAGGGCCTGTGGTCAGTAGGGGGCCCTATGAGATGCCCCTGGTACCTTTTTCATAGGCTTTTTTGAATTTGGGCAAGGACACAGGGGCCCCATGATCCCCTATTGCCCGGGTGCCCCATGAGTTGTCAGTCCGCCCCTGCTGACAACACTCAGCTTTTTTGTGGACTAAAGGTGGCCATATATGGATTGAAAGTTGGCTGGTTCAGTAGGGACCAGCAGCCACTGAGCGACTTCTGTTCAACCACCCTATCAGATAAAAGCAGTTTAATTAGCACTGCAGACAATAGTCATCAGCCCCATCCACCTAAAATGTGTGAATGGGGGAATCAATTTGGCAATGTTCATATTTCATGTCTGCGGTTTACAGCCACTTTAACAAACCAGAAGACAGCAAGTGAAAAGTTTGATGTTTACATACACTTTAAGGACACCACTTTCACTGTAGTACTAGATTGCCACATAAGGTACTGAACAGTTCCCACAATGCTAGAACACCAAAGCCTTTTCGTGCTTAAAACATCTGTTGATTATTTGGATCATGATTGAGGGCAGGCGCTTTGGATCAGTTGGGCGCAGACTGTGATGAAGGCTAAGAAATAAACCATGCACACATTTCTAAGCCAAATACTTAAATAAATACAGTGTAACATTTATTCTATAAAGGTTTGTATAGTGTGCGAGACAGCACTTCATAAAGTGTAATAGGAAAATATCACAATACACAGTATGTTATGGAGGAAGCATAGGTCAAAAGAATGAAGATTACCTAAATTACAGGTGTGCAATATTTTAGGGACCTTCAGAGACAATAGCAGGTCCAGAGCAAACATCTCATGCATGGGCTCATTATTATTATTATACAGTATTTATATAGCGCCAACAGTTTGCACTGTGCTTTACAATATAAGGGAGACAGTGCAATTACAATACATTTCAGTACAGAAGGAATATGAGGGCCCTGCTTGTGGAGCTTACAATCTAAAGGAAGGGGGAGGTGATATAAAAGGTGATAGCTGCGGGGGATGATCTGGTGGAGGTGATTCAAGTACAGTTCTTAGGTGGAGGTGGGGTAGGCTTCCCTGAAGAAGTGAGTTTTCAAAGATCACCTAAAGGCAGACAGGGTAGGGACTGACCGGACATACTGTGGTAGGGAGTTCCATAGGATGGGAGAGGCTCTGGAGAAGTACTGGAGGTGAGCGTGGGAGGAGATGATGACAGAGCTAGAGAGGAAGATGTCTTGGGAGGAGCAGAGTGGGCGATTTGGGTGATATCTGTGGATGAGGATGGTGATGTAATTAGGGGCAGTGTTGTGGATGGCTTTGTATGCTGTGGTTAGTATTTTGAATTTTATACGTTGGGTTAGTGGAAGCCAATGAAGGGATTGACAGAGAGGGGCAGCAGTCACTGATCGGTTGGTAAGGTGTATGAGTCTAGCAGCAGCATTCATAATAGATTGAAAGAGGGATAACCTGTGTAATGGACTTCTTTCAAAATGAATGGACTCTCGTGTCCAAGTAAACCACAGCCCGCATATCCGCACAAATGTGAACCTAGCCTTATACTTTCTTACTCAACTATTTACCTTTAGTTTAAAAATTAATTTGTACAGTAGAATCTGCATGCTAAATTTTATCTTGCCATATTGATTAATACCAGGAAATTATTATGCGTTGACTGTAAACTCTGTGATGTTAACTGGACTTGTCCATACCTTGGCGGCTAACAAATAGTATTTATGTATGGAATGTTTTTATACTCTGACTGTATTCCTACTGTATCATATTTTGTATAAATAAAGAAACTACATTCTATCAACTACCAAGCATGCATTCTGAGAATAGCAGTTCCACACAGGTTTTTCTCTCCCTCTAGTTCCAAATTGTGGGCTGGAGGTAAGGAAAAGCAATCAAATATTTCATACGCTGTTGTCCAATGCTAAGAGATTATAAATAGTTTTTTGAGCAAATTTCACAGACAGTTGTGCAGGCTGGACAAATATGTCCCTGTATTTTCTGTAATTAATACATTTTTGTAAGTACTTCCTTCATATAGTGGCTAAACATTTATATTTTCCCATTGATGTATTTCAGACCACATTTTGGCCACCAGAAGGTGTCCTTTTTACTATTGTCATTGAAAGTGAAATGAAAAGAAAATCCCAAATTTTGGGTTGTCACCGGAAAAGCAATAGAGGGGAAATCATTCAAAGAGGAGACAGATGGAAAAGAAAATCTGATGGGTGACAACCCTCCCTTACTCTATCCATAATGAAAAACAAAGTTTTGCCATTAGTTACACTTTCAAGCAGCCTTTATCAATCTTTTCAACACAGCGGAATCCTTGAGATAACTTTTTGGTCTCAGGAAACCCCTGATAAAAATGACTATGTCAACAGCTCATGATACATTAGTGTGATGGTCAGTGGGAAGAATGGTCCTTACACTTGTGGTCACTGGGAAAAATTACCCTTTATTTATAGATTTACATGCATTACTGCTGAGAGGACTGATCCAAAATGGCAGAAACTACTCAAAATTGCTTATTATATCTTTACATTTAAGTACCGCATGCCTGGACCACTATGTAATTACCAAATGTATTTAATTATTTATGTCCTTATGTGAATTGACTGTAACGCCTTTTCATGCAGTATTTACTGAGTGTTTTGAGCGCTTTGCGGTAAATAACGCAAAACGGTACAATGGATTGACAGTTTCAGGATTGCATGTGATATTTAGGTAAAGTGTGTCTGGACACCTAAATAACACAAGCGATCTGCTTCTGTGAATGGTGGCTGCTCACTTAGCAAAGTGAACACTCTCCTTGCAGAATGTATGTTTATGTTGCTAAATAAATGTTAGTAAATAAAATAATAAAATAAATTGTATTAACCACTTGCCCTCCAGAGGATTTACCCCCCTTCCTGACCAGGCCGTTTTTTGCGATATGGCACTGTGTTACTTTAACTGACAATTGTGCGGTCATGCAACAATGCACCCAAATGAAATGTCTTTTTTTTCGAACAGAGCCATTTTTCGGTGGTATTTGATCACCTCCTAGTTTTTTAATTTTTTTTGCGCTATAAACAAAAAAAGACCGACAATTTTGAGAAAAAACAATATTTTTTACTTTTTACTATTAAACATGTCCAGTAAAAAAAATTCTCTTTGCTAATAAAATGGTGCACAAATGGTAGTATAGATACTGGATTTTTTTTTTATACTAGTAATGGTGGCGGCGATCAGCGACTTATAGTGGGACTGCAGGACTATGGTGGGCATTCTGACACTTGGGGGGGAACTGTCACTAACATCCCCAGTGACACCAATATAGTGACCAGTGCTAATAAAAAGCACTGTCATGTTACTAATGATACCGGTCAGGAAGGGGTTAACATCTGGGGCGATCAAAGGGTTAACTGTGTGCTGTTTTACTGTGTCAGCACTTTAGCTCCTGCACATTGCTTTGTATTGCTCTGCATAGCAGAGCAATACAAAGCAATGTGCAGGAGCTAAACAGGGGAGAGATCTGTATTAACAAACAGGTCTCTACCCCGTCAGTGATACTCAGCGATTGACAGCTGAGGCCGCGAATGGCAGCACAAGTAGGATGCCCTAACCAGAAATGCAAAATCACATATATACACGTGATTTTGTGCAGCCCTGCCATCATGTAGCAGTATTTCTGCTATAAGGCAGCAGTAAAACGGTTAATTTTGAATACTCAATCATGTATGAGGGAAACAGTTTTTGTGTTAACACATGACTGGGTATTCAAATTAAATGCATGTTCAACTTATTTACTAACATTATTTTTACCAAGTAAAAAAGCATAGCAAAAAGAGCATTCACTTTGCTAAGTTACAAGTCTCTGCTCATTTAGTAAATCAACACCATTATGTCTCTCCCCTGTCCGAAAGGGGATTTTGGAATGTTTGCTTGTACATGTGACCAGGTCAACAAGTTCTAAAGGTCTGAAAACGGATTGTTGCACATACTTAACCACTTCCCGACTGCCCTATAGCAGAAATACTGCTACAGGGCAGCACGGGTGTGCAAAATCACGTATATATACGTGATTTTGCATTTCCGTGTAGGGGGCGCATGCGAGCTGCGTGCGCCCTACCTGCGACACCATTCGCGGGTCACAGCTGTCAATTACCAGGTCCCGGCTGGTGATTACTCACCAGCACCCAGTGATTACTGAGGATCTCCGATGGGGAAAACTGTTTTGTTTTTACTAACAGTTCTCCTTCCTGTCAGCTCGGGTACACTGCTTTGGATGGCTGTGCACAGCACAACCATCCAAAGCAGTGTGCTTACAGTGAAGCACACTGACACGGGCCCATAGTAAAACACTCCCTGCACACAGTTAACCCTTTGATTGCCCCTCATATTAACCCCTTCCTGCCCAGTGCCATTAGTACAGTGTCAGTGCATTTTTTTTAGCACTGATCACTGTATTGGTGTCACTGGGGATGTAATTGACACCAAGTCAGTTCCCCCCAGTGTCAGAATGTCCGCCACTATAAGTTGATTGCTGCCATTACTAGTAAAAAAGAAAAAAAAATCCCAGTAAATATACCGTCATTTGTAAACGCTATAACTTTCACGTAAACCAATTAATTTACACGTATTGGGATTTTTTTTTTAAGCAAAGACATATAGCAGAATACATTTTGGCTTAAAATTATGACAAAATTTCATTTTAAAATTTTGTTTACTGGACATGTTTAATAGCAAAAAGTCAAAAATGTTATTTTTCTCAAAAAATCTTTTTTTATAGTGGAAAAAAAAATAAATGCATAGGCGATCAAATACCACCGAAAGAAAGCTCAGTTCATGGGAAAAAAAGGACGTACATTTCGTTTGGGTGCAGCATTGCATAACCGTGCAATTGTCAGTTAAAGTAATACAGCGCTGTATTGCAAAAAATAGCCTAGTCAGGAAGGGGAGTAAATCCTCTGGAGTGCAAGTGGTTAAAGAGTATGTAAACCCTAACAATAAACCTCTGAGCTACCTATTGCTGGGTTAAATATACCATTAAAACTGTGTTGTTAAATCTGTTCAATAAATGCAAAGAATTCCATGTTAATCATGTCAGAAATTCAGAGCTGCCTTGTGTCCTGTTTCCATTGTTATCTCACCATGTCTCATTAGCCTTCTTATCTTGGGCTACAGAAAATTAGTAACCAACCCAAAGCACTTCTCCCCCAGGGAGGTCTAAACCATAAAAGACACCACCAGGATCCAGGACTGATAATCTCTCTTTTGACCACTGACAGACAGCCAGGAGATCTGTAATACAACCCCACCATCAGGGTGTAGGTTTCTGCTGTAGTACCTTGTGCGTCTCAAATGTGCTTCTTTATGTACTCCTGTAAATTGTACCATTAACATGTCTTTTAATGTACTGTTTGTGCACTCTTTTTCTCCTTTCTTCTCATTGCTACAGAATAATTAGTATCTATGTTGTAAAGATGAAGAGAGTGGAAGGGTTTGAGTAGTTTAGCAAAAGACAAATGGGCAGGTCTGACATCACTCAATGTACAAAAGTCCTGTGTGTTGTCAGCCCACAACATGAATTCATGAATTTATTTTATTTGGTCCTGACAGATGCTTTAAACATTGTACCACTCAAATATCAAATACACATTTTTTTTTGTGATCTCCTGAACATGGCACCCACAGGCTAACAGCTAGACATGTGCAATTTGTTTACTTAAGAATCGAAATTCAGAAGAAATTGTCATTATTTAGATGTATATGAATCTCTGATTGGTAACAAATTTCAACAAATCCAAAATAAATTATAAAGAAACAACAAAATTCATACTTATTCATTTGTTTTATTCGGATGACATGATGCGATAGTTTGGGCCTTTTGTTAATGTTTGAGGCATCCAAAAAAACATAATGACATAACAAATTAATCTCAAATTAGTTTTTTTCCAAAACGTTCTTTTTGATCTATTTCATATCTTTTTTCCTTAACATTTTTCATTATTATAAAAAATGTACTACATATGAAATGGAAACATTTTGCAATAAATACAGGAAGGTATAAAAGTGAAATAAGATGATGATTCCTACTTATTGTGTTCGGGTTGGATGGAGGTAGATCCATCAGAATTTCCAAATCATAACATAATGAATAAATCTGAAATTAATTTTGTTCCATTCGCTTTTGGATCCATTTAGTTTTTATTTTGCATTAACACTTTTCATTATTATAAAAAAAAATCAGCTCATTCCATTTCTGTTTGTGGGATGAGCAAGCAGGGATGACTCAAAGTACATAAGTAATCTCCCAAAATAACAAATTAACACATCAAAACAAATATAGCCCTTCTTCTTCAGTGCACTACCTCCCTGACCACTGCGCCTGTCACACTCACAGGTGATTTGCTGAGCAGTTTATACCAGAGGTGGGCAGAGCGCGATGGGGAACTGAAAAAACCAGTTCCTTATCAGGTCCACTCCATTTTGGGCAACGGGGTATGGCAGTGGGCAGATCCATGACCACTATTCGGTCATGGACCCGATGAGGAACTAGTCTCTCAGTTCCTAATCAGGCTCTGTCCATCCAGTGACAAGTGGCAGTCCCCATAATTGGGTTATGACATCAGCTGTATCCCCAGCCCTTTTGATTACATTTAGATTTTGGCTAGAGAATCTCTTTTGGTCGACAACTAAATGAGGCATGGGATACAGCACTGTGCAGGAAGCTGTAACTTTTTGGATGATAATTTTCCACCTGGCTCAGTCCATTTTTAAAGCGACTTTTCTTGAGTAAAGTGGTGCTTACAGTGCTTAAGTGGTGCTATCCATGGTTCAGATTTTGGTCATTTCCTGCTGAATTTCAGTTGTTTATGACCTGCTTTTTTAAGAGGCTGGAATATATTTTGTGTCCTGCCCTTTTCTAGGAAAGCAGATCTTTTCTCTTTTATGATGGCAGAAAATAGTTTCTGTTTGTTGACCAGTATATTCTTGCTCCTGAAAGCATTAGACTATCATGGTTATCAGTTATGATTTTTGGGGGGAATTGGTAGTTTTACATACAGCGAGTTCCACTCGACCTATCAAAAAATAAAAGTCAGCAGCTACAAAAACTGACTTTTAAAAACCAGCCACTTACCTGTCCCTCTGTCCCATGGTGTGTCCCCCGCAGCTCGTTTCACTGGCCATCCTGTATTCCAGGAGGCCGGCATCTTCAGTGTGGGCACCCGGCTGTGATAGCTTGCAGCTTCACAGCCGGGTACCCACTGCGCATGCACGAGTAGAGCTGCACTTCATGAATGGTCCTGTAGTCTTCTGGGACCTGTTACATGTCCCAAAAGACTACAGGGAGGGAGGACACCTTCCGCTTCCGATCGCCTAGGCGATTGGACCGGAAGTGGGAGCGGGTACCTGTCAAATTCCCCAAAAGTTCCAATCCTTAATGGGGAGCGGGGGAGCAGTCCTTAAAGCAGAACTTACCCTTTTGGATGGAGCTCCGCTTTAAGCCTGGTATACACAGGTTAAATATCAGATGTTATCTGCTAGTTCAATAGAAAATGTCTGACATTCAGCCCATGTGTACAGTAACCTGTCCAACAGAAGCCGGCCAAATGTTTGGCTTCAGTCGAATGGGCATGCTAAAAAAAACATCTGCCAATCATCATCCGATCAGCACTCGCAGCCAATGGCTGCGAGCGCTGACAGTTGTGTTCTGGTGGATGGGCAGTTCCCCTGTCAAAAACAGAATGGCTCAGCGGGGAGATTGCTGTACTAACATCTTATAGTGAGTACAGAGACATCCTCGCGAGCTCTTTGTTTTTTTTTTCTGTTCGGTCCACCAGAGTGTACCAGGCATAAGGCAAAGAAAAAACATTGACGGGAATATGCATGACTGTTGGCACTGTTGCTCAACAAGACAATTACATTAATGACTTCAATATATTTGTTGCATAATTCTTATTTATCAAAGAATGCAAAGAGATCAGGTGGAAGCCAGCAACAGCTTCTAAAGAAGCAATGTGGATTCTTACATAACAAAGTGTTCTGAACACACTTCTCAGACAGCAGTTGGCTCCAGTACTGCCAGTAAACAAGGCAAGCATCCTTTAACAGCTAGAAAAGAATTGTTTTATTACACAAACTGCAAGGGTATAAAGGGAGGACATTCTGAAAATAAATTAAAATATTTAGGAAATTCGTAACATGAGGTCAGTTGGAAATGTTGTGAGTTATGCTCTAAAATGAATGCAGCTGTTTGGTAGCAGAATAAATGAACAAACAGGGCACCATCCATTAAAGCTGAGCTCCAAGCAAACAACTAAATACACAGCTTAGATGCTGTGAGATCTGTTTAACCTGCCAAGGATTTGTATTTCTATCCATCCACTTTTGAGATTTACACAGTTCTGCCCCACATCACAGTTCTGTCTATTGCAGAAAGGGACCTGATCTTACTCTGCTGCAGTTTCACTTTCACTTACAAGTCCCCTCTCCATCCCCACTTTGTGACTGGACAATCAAAGAAGCAGCACGCTGATGAGCTCATCTGTTGGTCAATATGCTCTCTACTCTTGTCAGTGTGGCTCCTTGAACTGCAGCACACCTGACTCATTCGCTGGCCATACATTATATAATTTTCTTTACAATTTTCCCTTAGAGTTACCAAAACCATGTAATATGAGGTCAAACCTAAACACTTTCAATTTGTATGCAATAAGACAGGCGCTTGCACTACAGGAATGTGATTTATATTGCCCGATGCCTGGGACATGCAGTTCCAGGTGCTGGGCAGGTGGGTTTTTTTTTACAGTTAGCCCTGATAGAGGCAAGCAGCCTGTTTAGTCTAGGTTCACACATATGTGTACTGAAATTGCAATGTCATTCCACTTCTGTGCAATTTCAGTACAGGTGCGATTTTGCCGACCCTCTCTCTCCACAACTGCCTCCCATTGACTTCAATGAAAAATCACATTCCATTGCCTTCAATGCAAAATCTTGTCCCATTGACTTCAATGTTAAATGGCCTCCCCTCTGATGAAGTGCCGTAGCACGAAAGGCCTCAGGAGGAGCCGACAGCACGTGTGACGTCATACACCGCCGCGACCACGAGGAGGTCAGGCGGCCATTTTTCTTACTGGGTCAGTACATTATTACTTCCTTTACTAATATCTGGCAGTTATTTGTACTTGTACCCATGGATTTTATTGCATGTGACCAATAAATAGCTTGAACCTACTACACTATTGGCACTACCTCTTTGTTTTGACCCTCTATCGAGGGTTTCAGATCCACAGCAGTTGCTTTCCCAGCTCATCTTATATCCAGAAGAGGGAGC